ATTTGCCCGATATATATATATATATATATATATATATTAATATTTTTCTCGTTCGGCCTTCAATTGTATAATCAGCCATCTGTGAATTTAATATTTAATATAATTGTTTTGTACTTGTTTCTTAGTCGCTTACCCCAGTTGTTGAATTTCTCAGCCTCTTCCTGAAGATCTCTTGCAAAAAATTGCGACGGAGTTTAACTTATCGGAGACCGCGTACCTGACACCGCTGCCCGAAGCGGGTACGTGTGGTGATCGCGTCTGGTCAACATGCGGCAAATTTGGGCTGCGATGGTTCACCCCTCTGAACGAGGTGCCGCTGTGTGGTCATGCAACGCTCGCTGCTGCTCATGCTCTGATTTCGTGTCTAGGTATGAGATCGGAAATTCTATTATTTAATATGATTAAATATTTAATATGATTGTGATATGCATTCTGCTTGTGTAATTTAGAAATTTCTTCAAGTTTGAATATATTGTTACGATGTTACCTCTTCGTCGTAAATTTTGAACCAAATTTATTTCTTAGTTCTTAGAAACGCATTGGCGTCTCGAAGTAAGGGGAGTTATCTTTATAAATGTTTTTTTTTTTTTCAAAGGAAACTCTTGCTCCAAGTTCGAGTTTGAAACGTTGAGCGGGACGTTGGTGGCCAGGAAGGACAGTGAGACTCAAAAGATCACTCTAGACTTCCCCAACTACGAGCCCGTGCCACTGAGTGACCACCACGCAGACCTGGCGACTCTAGTGAAGCTAGTGGAGGAACAGCTGCCTGTACAGGACGTCAGGGTGTCGCTCACAGCCAGGAAACTTATCGTCAGGATTAAAGATTCATGCACCAGGTCAGGAATTCAGTGTTAAAAGAATTATCTTATATTACCAGCTGAAATTTATGCTTGTAATATAAAATTATTATTTGTTATTATGTAAAATTATTATTATTAATTAAAATTCACTTAGTATGTGATCTTCTCCGTCAAGAAAGGATAACCGCTCATAAGAAACAACG